CGTTATATATATATATATATATATTTTTTTTTTACCGTGTCGCCGAAATGCGCAGTCGAGACCGCGAAGCCGGCCACCACGAATGTAATTCGTGGTCTCGTCTCATTCGTATATCGCGAACCACCTGCGCGATCGAGATAGGAAAATCGTTCTCTTATCGCGTCGTCGTGTCCTCGTTCGAGTCCTCCTCGTGAATCTGGTTTCGATCGTTACGTTATCGCTCAGCGATTCTCCAGCAACGTTTTCTCCCAATTGTGATACAAATATTCGTAGCGACGACGCGCTGCCTCGACGATTCGAATCGTCGATTTCACGGAGCCCAGAAAGTTTCGCAAACAGTTCTTCCTTCTCTCTCTCTCTCTCTCTCTCTCTCTTTCTTTTCCTCCGTTATCCTTGGCGTGTCTCCTCAGTGTTAAAACCGAGAGTCCATCATCCGGTACCTAACGATCTGTCAGCACTGATCGGTGCTCTCTCTCTCTCTCTCTCTCTCTCTCTCTCTCTTACGCGCGCGCGCGCGTTATCGTGGGCAGGTACACCTTGAATTATCGGCAATTGGCATCCGCAACGTTATTGGCATTTGAACGATCGAGCGGCCGTCGTGCAGAAAATTGTAAACTTCTCCTCCACCTACCTGCCTTTACCTCACCCGTTGCCCATTTCCAGCGCCCTGCACGAGGCGTAGCGTGTTTACACTCGCGCGCGCGTGTGCTACGTGTTCCATGCACACGTGCTCTCTCTCTCTCTCTCTCTCTCCCCCCCCCTTCTCTCACTCCTCCCCCTGACATCGTGTCTTTTTCCCTTTTCCATTTTGCCACTCTCTTTGTCCCTCCGTCTCTCGTCTCGCGCCGACGAGCAAACCCGTAAATCACCTATCTGCCCTCCCTCTCCTCCGTTCCCCATGTCTTTCTCTCTCTCTCTACGCCGTACGGGTTATCGGTGTGGAGTAAAGGAAAAACTCCAGCGGATTTATCGATCAGACATTAGGTGATCGGCGCGATGTTATTGGCATGACGCGGGCTCCGATTACTATGCACGCCGGGTCTTTCGCCGTTCCCCCCACTCTTTCCCTCCGTCTTCTTTTTTTTCTCTCCAGACATCCTACATATTCATGCGCGTGCTGTACCGTGTGTCGATCCGTCCGTTCGTCCATCCATCCCGTCCATCCATATGTACGTACGTACGTCCGTTAGCCCGGTCGATCCGCGCGCGAAACACACGCGCGTGCAGCGGAGCGCGCGCGCGTGCGCGCGAGCGTGTTTTGCGTCGGCGTGCGCACATGCAGGTTTCGTACATTCGATGGATCGTACGTGTATGCAATATACGCACACGTGTATACGTATACGTGGATACGTACGGCGCGAGTCAGCGTCGATTGCGTCGCTGTCGAGGTCGGGGCACGCAACGCACGATATACGTCGATGGGGGCCGTGTGGGCACCTTATATCCGGTGACACGCGTGCCCGCGCATCTTTATTAATCGTTCGCCCGTTAGCCCGCCTTCGAGATCTCAACGTCTGTCAACGTTAGAAATTAACGCGTTCGCGCGCCCGAGCCCCGAATCGATCGTCATCCTGGTTAATCGCGTGACTACTAGAGACGTTACACCTAACAGAATCTGGTTATAAGCGATTTTGTGAAAACCTTACGAGAGAGAAAAATAATACTATGTCTCTGTATGTACAGGGTGTCTGTTAAGTAAGGTCGGAGCCGCATTGGGGGCGTAGAATGGGTCAAGGGGAACTAAAAAGTTTTATATCATTTTGCAATTTTCGCGATAGTTAACAAGATGTTAATTACTAAAAATGACCGAACATTCGTCTTCTATCTAATTTTTTTCTATCTAATACTATCGACTTTGCCGAAAAACTGTGAGAGACAAAAATTGTTTATTTTCTTCTCGTAAAGTTCTGAGAATTTTTTCAGAATTTTTTAATACCATATTTTCTCATGATAATAAAAATAAGGAAATGCAGTACTAAAAAGTTGATAAGAAATACTGAAAAAATTCTTAGAGTTCTATGAGATGAAAATAAACAATCTGAGGAGTGAAAATTGGACCAGTCTTTTAAAAGAAGAAAGAATGGATCAATTTTCAATCTAATGCCCGTTCCTACTGGTATAGCTAATTTGAATCTTGGTTCTAATTCTTAGAATTAGAAAAAAAAATGAAGAATCAGCTGAATCGAGATTAAAGTTAATCTATATTGATAGAAACGGATTAGAGTGAGATTTCATTTTTCAGAATAAGATCACATAAAAAATTTTAGAGAATACGCTATCTCACTTTGACTTATACAGTCTCACTTTATAATCTTAATTAAGTTTACAGAGCAAAATAGTAGAAATTAAAGTGAGATGGTATACTCTCTAAATTTTTTAGAGTGAAATTTTCACTCTAATCCTGGAGTCACTGACCAGTTTACTCTACGTAGAGGAAGTATTCGCTTTAATAGAGTGAATTCTTTCACACTAAGATAAAAAAATGAAAAGTTTCACTCTTATTTTAAAAATGAAATTGTTAATGCTCTAAACTTCACTCCAACTTAAAGTGCAGAAATCTCGCTTAACGCCTGCTCAGCTCTTGTTCTCGTACAAGTGCCGTTTATAATTGCAATTATTAACTGTATATTTAGTTGTTTTGAGTGTATATGAACAATGTCAAGTGTTTGACAAACTCGGGAATGAATCTATCAGAGGTAAACTGGTTTATACATTTGTACATACATGAAATAGAAATCAAAAGGATACGAACAGAGGTTAAGATATTTCGTATAGGTACTTTATGATAACGAAATAAATGTATTTCTACTGAAAACGTTAATAAAATGTAATAAATCGAAATTCATGTCTTCGATCTTTAATATGTTTGTACTCCTGTACAGATAAAGTACTTAGAGATTTCACGACTTGGTCAAAAAATGCCTGCGACTTTATGATTACGTCACAAAACGTCCTCTCTCTCCGAGAAAAGTCACTCCTTTTAGAGTTGAAGGATAAATCCAAACGAAGAGTGAACAATTTCACTCCATTTGGATTGGCAGTATTTTCATGAATATTTGGAGGAGTGATTTCACTTCAAGAAATTTCAAGAGTACGCAGGGGAACAGAAACATATATATTATACCTTCGTCTCTTTCAAGATTTTGACAAAATTTTTTGTGGCCGGACTATCTCTAAGCCCGCACCATCGCGCATGATTCTCGCGAGGCGTCGTTAATTCCGCCGTCGTTAATTAGCGGAACGGCGACGACGGTGGTGATGGTTTATCGCGCGAGGCGGTTTATCCGCGGGATCGGCTTTGCGGGGAACGCGAGACGCACGACGATATACCGTGCTCGCGTCTTATATACGGTGTAGTGTATAAACGCCGCGCGACGCCACTGCGCCGCCGTGTCGCGGGACCACCTACGACAAATGTGGCAGCCCGCAAATAATACCGGGCGTGTGTTGTACCACCGGCGACAGCACCGGAGATACAGGGCTCTAACTGCCAACGCGGTATCGTGGTTTAGTGCCTCCGATTATTTCCCTTCCTCCCTTACGGGCGACGTGCGTACACATATATTTACGGGATGTCCCTTCGAGAGAGATCGCTAGACAAAAATGCGCGCAGGGCGATAACAGAAAGATTTGAGGAAACCTGTAATATTAATTGGTGTCAAAAATCCACGGATTTCGGTGTGTGTTCGAGTAAATCTTCGATCGCGTAAATGCACGTAAATGATTAATAAAATCTGTTTTTATTTTTTTTATTTTATGTTTCGTATCGTTCTACAGGGTTGGCACAAAGCTGGGAATCAAAGAATTGTCAAGGAAATCGAAAACGGTTAGGAAATTTTGCGGAAAATTTTCCGGAAAGTTTAAATTTTCGGCTTAAATATCAAATTTATCTCGACAAAATATTGTACTTAAAGGTTTCTGAATCGAGATGAAAATGCAAATAATTATAAAATATTATCGACGATCAGAGGAAAATCATGAAATATTTTGTCTGAAAATTAGGGGGAAGAGTTAATTTTACGAATTTCTGACAATCCTGGAAGAAATCTAATTTGCGAATCAATTGTTAGGAATCATCACTCACACACACAAAACACAGCACAGATCTCCAAAGGATACTTTAAAAACGTCTCCATGCTCTAAGGACGCTTCTAGG